TGTTTATGCGAGTGTGTATAGGTGTGTTTGCATGCAGCAAGTTTATATGTATGTGCGTGTGTTAATGTGAGTGTTTATGTGAGGATCGAGTTTATATGTATGTGCGTGTGTATGTGGGTGTATTCATGCGTCAAGTTTATATGTATATACACAAGTTTCATCCATGTTGTTTTGAACATCTGGTAGTATAGGTGTATATGCGAGTAATTTATAGGTGTATATACACGTGTTTTATGTATGTGTTGATAAGCAAAGTTTGATTTAAATCCTATACGGCACCTCATATATATATATATATATATATATATATATATATATATATATATATATATATATATGCGTGTCTGTGTGATGTATGTAAAATTTGGCCCGCGACAACGTTTTTTTTTTTTGCATCTGGCCCTCGGCCCAAAAAGTTTGGACACCCCTGGTATAGACCATCATATTGGGTCCATACCATACCATAACCCCGTCCTTTTTTTTTTCAATTTAACAACATAAAATCGGTGGACCAATTAGAGCGGTTTTCCGATCTACCGCAACTTTACATAGGAGTGCGGTCCCCCCGCCCACCGAATTGATTGACAGCTGCGCTCAATAACATGTTCCGGTAGTCACATGTATGTCAACAAGACCAGGCAGACATACGCAAAGCAACCGGGAATAAAAGGTCTGTTCTGTTCGCTAGGATCAGCAATCATCATCAAATGTGATTAAGAGTGAGTTTCACATGTTTAAAGTGTTTTAAAACAGAGTATGTGTGTAATTAATTACAGCGTTTTACTTCAGCTTTACTTCATCAGCACAGCCGCGTGTCAGAACAATTATAAAAGAAGACGCTTCAATCCCCGTTTGTGGAAGTTAAATCAGGTTTATTTTGTACATTAGCATAACAGATATCCACACAGTAAGTTACTTGAGGTTAGCCTTAACTAAGCTAAGCGCACTCTGTCTGTCTGCCTGCCTGTGTGTGTGTGTCATCTGCGGTGTGTGTGTGTGTGTGACTCATTAATGCAACTTCACAATACTGATTAGTAAAGGTTAGTTCTTACTGTAGTATCTCACAAACGCTACGTGAGACCTTCTTCCTTTAAGTCTGTCTGTTGTCTGACGCAGCTGAGGGAGGAGGCACGTAGAAACAGTAGGCGGGAAAGACTCGTCTTAAAGGCGCAGTACGACAAAGCCACCCCCTGCTGGAAATGTGTATAAAACAGCATCTTGTAAAAGGTATAATGAAAAATCTGATGGGTGTTTTGAGCTGAAACTTTATATACACATTGTAGAGACGCAAAATTAAATCTGAAAAAAGGGGTAACCTAGGTGCCCTTTAATAAATTAAAAAATGTGAATGTAATATTATTTCCCATTTGGAAGTGGGTCTTCCAATAAGGATTTGAACCGGGATGGCAAAATGATCAGCCATCATCCTTGATTTATTTATTTATTGCGTGGTTTGCAGTGCAAAACGAACAATTTTTAAAAGTGATTTCATTGTCATAATTTCCCACATATTAACTGTAGGATTAGGGCTGAGAATGCTCTTGAATACTGTACCCTCGAGAAGGGTGTTTGTTTTGGTTGGTGTCATTGAGTTTTTGCTGGTTGATGTTTGATTAATGCGTTTAATCTAATTACGCATTACTGGCATATCTGTGTAAAGTTCATTTTTCTCTGTGGTGTGCGTTTTATTTATTGTGCCACATGAATACACACATTAGAATAGACGACATATAGTCATCCACATTCTAACCAGCAAAGTGTTGAGACAAACCATTTTTAAACTTTAAAGGGCCATGAAACCCCTCCGTTACAGCAGGGTGTTTTCACACCTCTACTTTGGAAAAAGTCAGAAAAGTGGGCGTGTCCAGCTCTGTTTAGGGGGGAGTGTTAGAGGCATGGTGTGGGAGTGTTTATTTGGGTGCGCCTAGTTTCAGAGTCAAAATACACACACAGGGGAGAAAGTGACTGTGTTTACATGGACATCAGTAGTCGAATTATTTGCCAAATTACTAAATGGTGGACTTTAACTGCAGTTTGGCTCTTTCATTCAGGGAATTCATTCATGCCCCTCGCGACAAACGAGATATCTGATTCGAGGATCTGCTCTAAGCGTGTATTTTTCATGCAATGTTTGATTCCGCACGGCGAAAGAGAGAAAAAACCCTCAGCATGTCCCGCAAACTTAGATGCACTCGGCAGGTAGCGTCAGAAAGCCGCGTGTGTTATTCCGGTCACTAAATGCGGCGAAAACCCTACACGAGGTTAAAGTTTGGTTGTAGTGCTAACATGTTTACATTCGGTGCAATAGTTTGTTCGATACGAAAAAACTGAATAATCAAAGAGCACTGATCGCTCACTTACCAAATCTGTAGAGGCAGGACAATCACCAGCAACTAGAGCCGCGTCTTTATTAAGAGAAGACTACAAGCGAATCCGGATCTCAGCGTTTGCAGATGAGAACAGCTCTCAGGTAAACAATAATCCTCCTTAGACACGTAAGTTATTGTTGTCGAGCGTCGCGTACACTGTTAATCCACACGTGACTCCAGCTGAGCTCTCACAGAGAGAAAATGAAAACAAAACTTCACTGCAGCAAACTATAAAAGCAACACTTCACGCTTGTTTTGCCAACACAACGTGGCGTCTCTGTCGTCTAAACACTGTGACAGTGATGAATATTAATGAAGTTGCACAATAGAGCGCGCTGATTGGTTTGAACCAAGCTTTACTCATGCATTAATGCATCACACTGTAAGACGTAATAAGACAAACTCTGGCACAGACGTCCAGTCTGCACGCTGGAATACACGCTATTATGTCATGACCGTGACGCAGCTTCAAAAATTCGTTTCAAACCGGAAGTACGAATTTGCTTGAAATAACGCAAAAACAACCAATTTACACTTTTTAGTGACATATAGGTGTCCTAATAGTGTTTTTAGCAGTGTGGGACACATATACGACTGTCAACAGCTCAACACATGTGTTTTGGTGTTTCGTGACCCTTTAAAGTTTAGCTCATATCTTTACCTAAGAATATATTTACAAACTGGAAATTTCCATTTCTCAAAATGCATACATATACAGAAATGCATGCATATGTAACCCTGCCAGTCCTGACCACCCAACCCGCTCCGAGCTGGGATCGAACCACTGACCTTTAGCATGGGAGTCAGTTGCTCTAACAAGGAGGCTAAAGACCATGGCCTCTAGTGTCTGTCGCTAGAGCACCTTTAGTTTACAGGTTTACCTACACAGCACACTCTAGCTGGCCTCTGTTACACTCACCCCCCTAAACCTCACTCCCATCCGGGTCACGGCACCAATGTAACCCCACCGTTCCTACACCTCCAAACCTGCTCCGAGCTGGGATCAAACTGGCGACCTTCCGCATGGGAGTCGGTTGCTCTAACAAGGAGGCTAAAGACCATGGCCTCTAGTGTCTGTCGCTAGAGCACCTTTAGAGGTCAGAGGAGTGACGTTTACCTGCACAGCACACACTAGCTGGCCTCCGTTACACATACATGGATTAGCTCCCATTGTAATCCTCAGAAGTGCGGTGATCTTAGCTGTGCAATGAGCGCTGCTTCCACATGCTGGACCCCCAGCCATGTGGCACAGTGATCATGCCCATCATCCATTGACAAAAAACCCCACTGCATCCACAATTGCACAAATGGTATAACGTCTTAATAAAGATGCGTCAGAAGATGCGTGAGAGACATGAGTCCTGCACAGTGGCCGGAGGGATTTTTATCCATTCTTCTTGCAGAATAGTGGCCAGGTCACCGTGTGATACTGGTGGAGGAGAATATTTTCAGAGTTGCTCCTCCTAAACATCGCAAAGTGGCTCCAAAATATTTACATTCGGTGACTGCAGGCCATGGGAGATGTCCGAGTTAATATTCATCAAGCCATTCTGTCAACAGTCTTGGTGCATTATCATCTTGATACACGGCACTGTCTTCAAGATGTTTGCACATGGTCCTCCAGAATGGTTTGGTAGTCCTTGGCAGGGACGCGCCCATCTAGGACAAGTATTTGGCCTGATATTGCAGCCCAAAACATCACTGATCCACCCACATTCGCGCAAGTAAACCTCACTCTTCTGACCTCTAAAGGTGCTCTATCGACAGGCACTAGAGGTCATGGTCTTTAGCCTCCTTGTTAGAGCAACTGACTCCCATGCGGAAAGTTGCCGGTTTGAAACCAGTTCGGGGCGGGTTGGGTGGCGTAGGACCGGTGGGGATACATTGGTGCCGTGACCCGGATGGGAGTGAGGTTTAGGGGGGGCTGAGTGTAGCGGAGGCCAGCCAGCCTCACTCTTCTGACCTCTAAAGGTGCTCTAGCGACAGAAGCTGGAGGCTATGGTCTCTAGCCTCCTTGTTAGAGTAATCGACTCCCATGCGGAAGGTCGGCGGTTCGATACCAACTCGACGCGCGTTGGGTGGCGTAGGACTGGTGAGGTTACATTTGGTGTGTCCCACATGTCCTCTGTCTTTATGTTAAAATTGGTTTCTTTGTGTTCCTTCTTGACTTTTTTACTTGTTAACATCAGTTTATGTTATCATTAGCAGATTCGTTGCTAAATAACCAGCCAGAGCTCTCTCTTCAGCAGATAACATTTCTACATGCTGAATTAAGCAAACTTTACAGCTGTAAATATGTTTCATCAGCCTTCATGTAGTAAATGAGGATAATAAAATATTGCTGTTGCTGGATTTGTGGATTAAAACTTAAGAAAAAAAATGATTTCATTGCAGTAATTTAACACACGTTAACGTTTAGCATATAGGACAGACACTCCTCCTCAGCTCTGGGCCAACGAAAAAGATGTTCGTTTTGGTTGGAATCATTGAGCTTTAAAACCAACTGCATGTGAATGTTTTGTTTTTCTTGGGCAACAATATGGGGTTAAAGAAATACTCAATGCTAGACAATGATTAGTAAAACACATGCAGGCATATATAACAGTGCTTTTGGAGGTTGCTGTATTGGGCATATTTCAACTACAGTATGAACACCTTCCTCTAAATGCGAAGACAACTCTGCACATGTGAGTAATGTTATAAAATTGTGAAATAATTATATTTTTGCAAGCAGTTGTGTGTATGCTGAATGTATGAATGTATTTTGAGATCATTTTTAACGAGAAAAGCCTAGCAGTGGCAGATCTCCCTGCTGAAAAGTCTAGCTTAAACCAGCCTAGGCTGGTTGGCTGGTTTTAGAGGGGTTTTGGCCATTTCCAGGCTGGTTTCCAGCCATTTCCAGCCTGGTCTTAGCTGGAAAATGACCAGCTAAATCCAGCTAAAACCAGCTTGACCAGCCTGATTTAGGCTGGACATAG